CTCACGGGGCTTTCCCGAACCTGTGTCGAGAGCTGGAGCTAAATGAAAGCTCAGATTTGCCTTCTTAGTAGTTTGTTTGGGTCCCTCACTTCTGTTTCTCTTCTCATGCTCTGATTTGCTAGCTGAACAGCCAATCAGAGTGATTTCTTTAGCCTCGAATCGGCGGTGGAAAGTGTCAGAACGGCCGAAAAGACACGACTGGGCGGGACACACCAATCCGAGTAGGGCGACAGGACGCTCATCGACGGCCTGACTTCTATCGACGGCCGAAATCAGCTTGGTGTGTCCGGACCTTAAGTCGTACTACATCCATATCGGTCATTTCAGCTTGTAGGCACTTATACAGGGATAATGGTTTCAGTTACAAGAAGCTTTGTAAACATTAATGTACTGCTCTCAACAGAAATACTTTATCAACAGTAACCATCCTCTTTCTATCGATCCCTCCTCCTCAGACTTAGTGTCTCCTATATGCCATTCGATTCTCTCTCAATCTGCCCACCATCCAAATCAACTGTTAAGGCTGAACAATGCTAGAAAACAAGTCCTTCGTATAATATATAGCTCCCCCATGAAGGGAGGCTTAACTGATCAGGATGGCCACACACAGTAAGAGTCTTTTCTGTAAGGACTCCATAACAATGTCTTTGTTTAAAACACCATTCATTGTTGAGAAAGGAGACACTTCTTCTGAAATTGTCCATAAAGTTGCATTTAACAACAGGGCACTCTGTTGCAGTAGTTCCACATACACTTTGGCTGGTAATAAAATATGGTTTTAGTAGCAGCTGGCTGGCCATTTAGGCACTTTAACCACTTTCAAGACACTGAGCTTGTCTGATAACAATTATTGATTAACACGGTTGTCGTACAGGAAAAACATCTCAAGTAGCATCCTAGGAAAACCAAATCCAGCTCACATAAGAAACTGTGAAAAATGGCATTTAAAAAACACACCGATTGCCACAGCTAATAACAAACTGACATATGTCTCACTTATTCCCCAATTACCTTACCTCATTTCTAAAATGGTGCAAAGTGTGAAATATAAAAGATCTAACTTCTATATGAAACTTCACTTTAAGTTAGATTTGAAAAGCACCCACGCTTTGAAACACTGCTATCGCTCAGGGACATTGCATTATCGACTGTTATTTTGAGTACATAGTGCATTTAAGTGAACACAACCACCGTCAAGATTCATTCACAGGAGTAAGTGTCTCATCGCAGCACATAATGCAGACTCTCGTGTACCAGTATAGAAACATGTGGGTGGAAGCTTCTTCCAGGAGGAGCACTTAACACCACATCCTTCTCAGAGAGGAAACATAAGCAAGCATAGTAACTTGTCTGGTACATGATATCTCTCTTTCTCTTCAGGAACATCCATCATGTGCCTGCAGAGCTGGGTGAGAATCCAAACTTCAGCACACATCACTCACCCAGCAGCGACAGGCAGCCGGTTGCATGTGGAGCAACAAATTACATAACAATCATGCCCTAAAACCAAAACAATGAGTACTACAAATTGGTACGTTTAATTTAGAAAAACTCCCGTGGACAGAAAAAGCTCTCGCTCATGTCCTATCCAATTAATACTGACAGTCCGATCTTTTCTCATTGTGCTACAAATCATACCGGTGACAGGCCTGCAGCCGAAAAGAAAATTGGTTCAACTGCGACACAGGCACCAGGAGCCAGAGCTGCATGTACGTCAGAGGCTGGGTTCACTTTAGAAACAGTTCATGAGGAGAGCAGAGAAAGTTGTTGCAGAAGGAAGCCACCAAGCTCCCTCTAGAACGCGACCATAATTCATGTTATACGAGAGAAACTTCACATTATACAACCCTTATTAACCGCGTCATGGTTACAAACATTGTCAATTGAAATGTAAAACAATGAAAGCATCAGTGGACGCCACTGGTGTGACGGCCAGGCAGTACATCACGACCATCAAGCATCAGGTTTCAGTAGGCTTTATGCCTGACGTACAAAAATGCCGCTGAACCATAGTGGCATACCATCAGCCTCATTACTGGTAAGAAGAGTATAAGTTGGACATAAAGACACTCTTGCCATTCATTCGGGCTTTGTAAGTTGAACCGCAACATGAGCACAGCTCCAATGTAGTCAGCCTTTGTTGTTATTAGAGATACGTTAATGGCTACGTCAGTACGCGGCTTCTCTCTGGCTATAAGAAAGCAAACTGTTTTTTGAGTGGATCACAGGTGGAACCAAATGGGTGGTAAGGGTGGGCAGTTAGAGCGTTAGACCAACGTACGAAGATGTGTATGTTAATGTCAGAACAAACGGCTGCTTCTGTAACTAAATCATTTGTATTCGTATCAATAAAATATACACCCATCTATCCATCTATTCCTTTTTGTTGAGAAAGTGCACAATATGAGCGAGCTGATCCTGGCTCACACTCAAAACTCAACAGCAATTGTTTCAGTCCGTGCCTTTTTAAGCAACCATCTTATCAGAACAGGGCAATGAAAACATCAATGATATTATTGTCTCTCAACAGTGACAAAAGCAAAAGGGGTCAAAAACGACGCAGTCTTCCCCCCAGGTACCAAAGTGTTGCTGCGGCACGAAGAGCAGTTATTCTCCACGGGAGAGGCTCATCCAGAGTCATTTAAAATGGCCTTCAAAAAGCAACTAACCATGAGTGGCAGCACTTTAAACAAGCAACTCAATTCAGTGCGAGCCCCTAAAGTGATTAGATTCCATTAATCAGTGCAAACACAAGGGTACTGCTGGCCTTTCAAATGACCCGCTGTCCCGTGAAGCCTGGCTCTGCACCGGATTGCTCTTAATGGGATTTCACAACATTAACATTCTGCAGAGTCAGCATCGAGCACACTGGCTACAGTCCCCCCGCCTTGAGAGAGAGAGTGTGCGTGTATAGGAGAGATTGAGTGTTGAAGAGAGAATGGGTACACAGTATGGTAGCGGTGGATAATCATTAGACAGGCTTTAACGGGAGTCGAGATTGTTTGTAGATCCTGTAAAAGTCACAGCATAAAATATTTATATCTGGAGAACAAAGATTTCCCGACAACTGACTGACTTAAAGTCAAATCTAATCTGTTGTGGTCATTCCTTTGACAGTGACACTGCGTCTTCTCAAATCTAAAAACCTTCAGTTCTTGATTTTCATCAGTTCATTCACGTAAAATAAGACGGGTTACAAAGATATTTACCTTCAATACCGTGAACCATAATGCTGTTGCAATATCAGTCAAAAGATATATCGTAACAGTTTATTTCGTACAAATTGTGCAGCCGAAATAACTAGATGACTAAATCTAACTTACTAAAAACTAAATAGGAGTCTACCAATCAGAGGGTCAGCAGCTCGATCCCAAGCCCCCGTCATCAAATTGTCAAAGTGTCCTGGGGAAAATGTAGGCATGTAGACGGTAAGTGTAAGTCACTTTGGATAGGACCCGGAGTTAAATAACATTTTTCTTTTTATAAATGCAACTCAGCCAAGAGTTTAGTTTTTCAACATCCACAAAAGTCCCAATAGCCTTACTGCCATGTTCAATTACATAATTGTCCATGTTATAAACCAGAAGACTGTTGCTGTAAGTGACAATGTTTTATATGCTGAAGTATGTCTCTCAACTCACACATGATGCATGCAGAAAATCATATTGGTGGTTGAAATCAACTTGGAAGTGTCCCAGAGCTTCCTGTTTGACTCTGTAATGTAACAGTAGGTCTGCCCTGGTGTTGACAGAGGGGTCAACCGATGTCAGACAGGGGTCACAGGGTCAAACCCCAGATGGAGGGAAATGGAGTGGGGGTCAACAGTTCCTCTATGATGGGGGCATATGACCTGGCTTTCAACAGTATAAGGAAGCTCATTAACGGCCAAACCATTCGTCATGCAGGCTGACTAAGATGGAGTTGTTTAAGACAAATTGCTTACATGTTACAAAAAAAAAAGACCGTTTTTTGGGTTTGCTGCAACTGAAAAATAGACCAACAGTCAGATTGCTACCACATCAGCCAGCTATGTTCTCCATCTCACCATCTGCTGTGCTCCACCCACACAATTCTCTCATAGCACTCTCTGGACAGTAGCCTGCCAATGACCAGGAGGGCAAAGCAGATGGTGTTGTTACGCAAACCATTTAGCCTTTGAATGACAAAGCCCACTGTAAATCAAATGGGCACTGACTGACTGAAGTCAAACTGTCCACTTGCTATAGCGCTTAGGGCATTGGCTTGCATTGTTTGCTCACCTGGAATACTGTAAGACCAGTCAAAGCAAAGCTCAGGGAAATAACTCCTGTCTGAAGACTCCACCATAAAATACAAGCAACTTTAACACTTGCAACAGAAACAAGTCTCTTATTTTTATTTCCTCAGCACACAAACAGAAGGATTTAAGTCAAGGGAAAACTGCCAGTTGATGTATGCATGAATAACGCATTTGAAAGTGTTTCTCAAAAAGGCAGCTGACATTGAAAAAGTAGATTTTATGTGATCGGAGTGTGTTCTTTATTATTCGGCGCAGGAACAGCCAAAAAAGGACATTTAGGTAATTAGGAAAAAGGCTTTTTTTTTTTAATTGAGTCACACCTATTGCTGTAGCAGCAGTCAAAGGTGATAGTTCACTGCGTTAATTACCAATTAAAGTGATTCAAATTAATTAAATAAGCTACTAGTTTTAATTATTATATGCCGAATTGATGCAAGAGCTACACATAGTCAGAAAACATATTAGGTTTAGTTCCTATTTGTGTATTTGTTTGTCAAGGGGCAACACAAAACTAAATCAACTGAATATTTCATGGAGTTTTGAACGAGCTCCCAGCAGAAGGGAAAGATTGAGGAAAAAACAACAAGAGGAAAGTTTGAAGCAGGAGTGTTCCTCTTCTCCCAATGTGAAGCAACAACATATAACAGTCACGATTCTTTTTACGGTTGTTTTCGGCATTATATTACAATTTCACGGAAGAGAGTGGGTCAAATAAACTCACCGTGCGGTATCTTCACAATATCCAGGTTTGGAGAAAGACCAAAACCTCTCGACGCCAAGTTTCCTCTTTCCTCAGCAAAACAACGCAGCGGCTCTCACGACGCACGGAGATATTTAACAGTGTTTAAAGTGTTTAAAGTAGGGGGGGGGGGCGGGGGGAACCTGCCTCTCCGACGTGGATATGTGTCCGTGTTGACGAAGTGAAAGGACGGCTTTCTTTGTTCCTCCTGCCTGCAGCCCGTGGATATTATCACCGTTCATGTGTCTCTGCCGGCCGCTGATTGGCTGCGGGGTCGGGATCAAAGAAAGGTGACCGCTGTAAAGTTAGCCAGATTAACAACACCTTTTCCGACTGCGATGTGCGTAAAAGCCCTTTTGTAAAAACGCGTTTGAGGGTGTTTTTGAATCTAATACGCAGGTTTCACGCGGCACCACGATGTATTTAGCAATTCCCCAAAGCGCGCGGATGTTTTTCAGGTTGCTGTAATTGATTTTAACCCCCAAAAGTGGTTTACTCCATGCTTTTATTTTGTATGCTTCATGACCAAACTTCCTGTTCAGTACTAGCTTTTGTTAAGAAGCTTGACGCAGGGTGGAGGCCACTTCATGCCTTGCATAGTTTTTATTTTGAGCATAATCACATCATCATAGGGGACCGGTGTGAAATTATAACACCTTTTCCGATTATGATATGCATAAAACACTTTTTTACTAACACTTTTAAGGGTATTTCTGTAACTTATATGCAGGTATAACGCTGCAGAGTAGTTTATGTAGCAAAGTCTACTCAGAGTTTGTAAGTGTATTTTGTGTTTACTCCAAAACGTGGTTTATTCCATGCTTTTATTTTGTATGCATCATGACTTTACCTTTTCCGATTACCACGTGCATCAGAATCAGAATCAGAAATTGGTTTACATGGAATATACTTTGGTTTATATGGTGCATACAGAGACAAAGAATGAATAACACATAACAACATATACAAATAAAAGATAATTATAATATAAAAGCTATTAAAACAATTATGTGAGTAACTGAATACATTAAAATATAATATAACTATGTACTATATGCATAAAAACCCTTCTATAAACGCTATAAGGGTATTTTTGTATCTAATATGCAGATGTAACGCTGAATCTGTGCGTATGTGTGTATATAGCAATTACTCAGAGCTTGTAAGTGTCTGTTGTGTTGCTGTAAGTCATTTTACTCCTAAACGTGGCTACTTCCATGCTTTTATTTTGTATGCTTCAATCATGACCAAACTTCCTGTTTATTTCTAGTTTTTTTTTGTAAGGAACTTGAGGCAGGGTGGAGGACATTTCATGCCTTGCAATGTTTTAATTTGAGCATAATCACATCGTCATAATTTGTCTGTATGGACATTTATTTTACATGTTCTTGCACTGGAAGATAAGCCTAATATTGAAGCTAAGATGTGGTGCATTGATTTGTATGTCTAGTTGTACACACACTTGTATTTCCATTGTAAAAAAGAGGATTAAAAAATGTGAAAACTGTCAAAAAATGTAAAAATAAAATGTTTTGATCGAAGTAAAAATTAAGAGATTTTATTGTAAGAAAGGCCAAAAAAAATCAATTGTTTTACATTTATGACTTTTTTTGTACGAATTGCATTTTTCTTATTTGGCCCCCATCATCTTCCGTATCCATGCTATATAAAGTTATTTAAAGGTCCCATGTCATGCTTTTCTGGTTATTAGCCGTCCCCTTGTGTGTTATGAAGGTTGTTCTGCATGTAAACGGTCTGCAGAGTCACAAACACCCTGTAGCGAGTAAAACTCTACCACAGAAAAGACCTGTCTATGCTGCCCCAGAACGCCTCGTTGGACATTTCTCTTTTTCTTCCTGGGTACAGTGACGTGCCCATACTCAAATGGAGCCATTGGTCCAAATGGACCAATCCGTGGAGCTCCACACACACTCTCTCTCTCTGCGGCGAAACTGTGGCACGCTTACACTGTAGGTGTGCCGCATTTGGGGGTGCTGGTGCTAGTGGAGCCTCACAGATGGGGGTTCTGCAGCCCCATCAGCACCCCCCCCCCTTCCCGCGAAATGAACCCAGCTCACACGGTCCGCTCCTCGCAGCAGCGAGCCGCGCACCGTCCCGCCAACACGGCACCCAGACCCCACGCAGCATTCTCATCTGTTTGTCATTACTGGTGTCATTTTCTGGTTGCTAACAAACGCCATTGCAAAACATAATCACTGATGTTCTGCTGTAACGGTGGTGGACTCATCAGAACAGAGTGGGCGAGCTGACCAATCAGAGCACAGTGGGCTCACAGGGGGGGGCAGGAGCTCCAACAAGCCGTTTAGGACAGAGAGTGAATACACATACAGAGATGCTGTGTGAGAAACCAATGTGAGTTTGGAACATTGAACAATGTAAATGTATTCTAGTCGACCTCAACAATGGATTTATGATCAGTAGAAATGGCCATGACACGGGACCTTTAAAAGCGATGCATACCTCACTTAAAGCTTGTCATTATGTCTTATTAAATCATGTAGATTACTTGTCTCTTTTTCAATCATTTTTACGTCTTTGACAGATTTGGATACTTTACACTGATTTTCACTTTTGAATCATTCATGTGCCTTTAAAGTGCCATTAAGTGGCAGCAGCTGTATTCATGGATTAAACACAAGCTAATGGGAAGCATCATTTCCCTGCATCTAATGCCACTAAGTCATTTAAACCAACTCGCAACTATGAGATTCACTCTAACCACACTGATGTACACAGTTTATATACCAAGTCTCCTCCAACACGATGCTAATCTGATGAGCATTTTAAGGTTTTAAAACATAAACGTCCTTTCCTTTTTCCCATTCATTACATCATAAACCTTATGCATTACATTAATGCACACAATGTACACAATATCTTGTTTTTTATTACTGCACATATTTGATTCCAATTATATTTCAATGTAAATACTGCCATATTTTTAAATCAATCAATCAATGTTTATTTATAGAGCCCAATATCATAACATTTACATTTGTCTCAGTGGTCTTCACAGTTTGTACAGAATATCAGTATGACAATACGACACCCTCTGTCCTTAGACCCTCTGTCCTTAGACCCTCTGTCCTCAGACCCTCTGTCCTCAGACCCTCTGTCCTTAGACCCTCTGTCCTTAGACCCTCTGTCCTCAGACCCTCTGTCCTCAGACCCTCTGTCCTTAGACCCTCTGTCCTTAGACCCTCTGTCCTTAGACCCTCTGTCCTTAGACCCTCACATCGTACAAGGAAACACTTCCAGAGAAACCCCACAGTTTAAAGGGAACATGGGAGAAACCTCAGGGAGAGCAACAGAGGAGGGGTCCCTCTCCCAGGACGGACAGACGTGCAATAGATGCCGTGTGTAAATCGAAGAGATAATACATTTTACAGCATATAGACCGAATGTTAGGAAATGCATGAGTCTGTAATAAGAAGATGAATCCACGAGGATGTCAGCAATCCTGTGGGAGTCATCAGGGAAGTAGTATGATGAGAGTCAGGCAGGACCGCAGAGACAGGTTCAGCCACGGCTCAGGATCCCGGCGTAGATAGACACCAAAAATAAATGTGGGGGAAGCTGGCCTATTGGGAACATGAGGTACAGACAGAGAGACGGAAGAAGCAAGGTGTCCCCCAACAGTCTTCCTAAAGCAGCAAAACTAAGGGCTGCATCTAATCAGCCCTAACTATAAGCTTTATCAAACAGGAAGGTCTTAAGCGCACTCTTAGAATGGATAGGGTGTCTGCCATTAAATATTTTGTAATGTTATTATAGTTTTCTTAAAATAGTTTTCGATCTGTGTTTTTTAAATGTTGTTTTACTTGTATGTGCACCACAAAACCAAGTCAAATTCCTCGTACATGTCAACCTACCTGGTAATAAACCTGTTTCTGATTCTAAATTACAAGTGTGTGTGTCCCACCTGTAACAGCATAGACAGCAGGTGTATTCATCAGCGAACGTCGTAAGAGAGGCCGGTGTGAATTGAGGCTCTTTGTGAAATCTAGACCAGCGTTCCCCGAGCAGCTGGCCTCCAATCAAATCCAAAGAGAGCCAGAGAATTGAAGTTGATGGGTTTAACCCAGCAGGGATCGTTTGTCTGTCAGCGTAAAACACAATTGTCTTCGCTCCTTTGCAGTGAGTCATAAAGGGAATAGTTGAACATTTTTGCAAAATACCCTTATTCATCTTCTTACCAAGGTTACAGATCCAAACAGCTCAAATATTTGTATGTCAAATATAAATCTGGAGCCAGGAGCCGGTTAGCTTTGCTTTCCTAAACACTTGATTACATGTGGTCAATCACAGCACTCTATTGTGATAGAGAAATTGCTGTGGACTTAAACTGAAATGAAAAACGTATATTGTTTTCGAGCCAAAGCTATAAAATCTGTTTTAAATCAATAGAATTAGCAATAATTTGACTCATCTATAGTCAATACTCGTATCACTTAACAGTAGAATAATGACCTGGTTTTATATAATATTTAATTTAACGCTCCACTGTATATATTGAAACATAAACCTTTGTATACATTGTTATCACTCCGTCTATCTTTCTATCTGTCAAGCTGTCACTAGCAACAGTAAAATGTCTGTTACTCAAAAAGTCAGAAAGTTGATCTCAGTGAAGACACTTCCAACTAAACATGAGTCAGAACTCCCATGCTGTGTGTGTGTGTGTGTGTGTGTGGTGTGTGTGTGTGTGTGTGTGTGTGTGGTGTGTGTGTGTGTGTGTGTGTGTGTGTGTGTGTGTATGAGTGTGTGGTGCATGTGTGGTGCATGTGTGTGTGTGTGTGTGTGTGAGTGTGTGGTGTGTGTGTGTGTGTGTGCAGTGGATTTGGTGTTGTGTAAGAGCCAGCATTGTACATGCCTTTTTCCTGAGAATAAGGTTGTGGAAGTGTGTGTTAGGTTGTGTGGGTTAGGCTGTGTGTGTTCGAGGCTGTGTGTGTTAGGCTGTGTGTGTTAGGCTGTGTGTGTTAGGCTGTGTGTGTTAGGCTGTGTGTGTTAGGCTGTGTGTGTTAGGCTGTGTGTGTGAGGCAGCGTGTGTTAGAGGCTGTGTGTGTGAGGCTGTGTGTGTGAGGCAGCGTGTGTTAGAGGCTGTGTGTGTTAGGCTGTGTGTGTTAGGCTGTGTGTGTTAGGCTGTGTGTGTGAGGC